TTGTTGTCTGTAGGGGGCATACCAGATACTGATCTTAAATGACCTTGAACTGTGTGTAACAAATTTTACTATGCGTTTCTTTTTTTGATCAATATATTGAAACTTTTCAAGTCATCGGTATTCCTAGGAACTAATGTGACTGCTCCGTGTCGCCTAGATAGAATGTAGCAAAGTAAACACGGGGGATAACTCTTACTCAGTGCATTTACTATGAAGAAAAGTCCAGAGAGTTCCGAATGTCAATATGGTGTGTAAAATTTGAAACGAGTAAAAAAGGTTGAGAAAAAGTGTTGAATTTTCTATTATATGGATTTAATTTTTGGATGAAAGGTATCTACAATCTCAAAAATTAAGGTTTGTTATTATTAATTTGATAGTTCTTTTCAATACAACTTTATTTATTTTCTCCAAAATCGTTTCGGAGCGATTCTGCAATTTTCTGCTACATTGCGGGTATATGCATTCTAACTGTCCTGAGACACAGTTAGATTATTCTAACTACACGTCGCCCGATACTAGTGTCCGTCGCCCGGCCATCGAGTTATAAATGTGACTCAGACATTAGCTGCCTGATGCAAGAACGATCTTGCATCCACGGATCTACGGAATATAATGCACACCAAACCCGCTAGCGACGATGACCCTACGATATATCTGTTTTCATTTTATGAATAAACAAGAGACCCAAGGGCCTTAACGGTCACCTGAGTACAATACAACAATTTAGCGGATCCATAGAGTATTAAAATGAAATGAAAGGTGAAGCTTTGTTGCCCAAAAGCAAGAAAAATAGGGTGATCAGGATCAACAAAATAATTAGTCTACTATTCATTAACAGTTCATAAATTAGGTTCTAATCTGTTCCCCATTTATCACTATCACCATACAGCATATTAACAAAATATCAGTGCTTTAGTACTATTTTAATTCCTTGTTGTAATCTCTTACATTGGCCTCTCTTGGTCTTTGATGAACATTTAAGTTATTTTTGTCTCATTTTTATTTATCTATTACTTACAAGTCCACATGATCATTAAAACTAAGAAAATACTTTTTGGATTATACAATAAAAATTCTTGCATAATTCTCTTATTCTATTAATTTTTCAAGTACATTATTTACAGTGATTAATTATCAAAGGTAAACAGTAAAGGGGAATAACTCCTCTCAGTAGAAGGCAAATTAATTGAGCCCTGGCTAGGACCAGAACACTTGACCAAATGGTGCAGATGTTCAAAAATCTGGTAAAAATACCCTTTCTTATTACAACTTTTACACTTTTTGCCTCTGATATGCCCAAGTGCAGAGAAGATTTTTAAAGAAATAATGCTTTTTCACTACAGATTCACTATATTATCAATAGAGCCCCTTCCCCCCCCCCCCCTTCACCACCGAGAAACACCAGAGCCTCTCACCCTGGGACCAGAAGTTTCAAGTTTGCTCATTATAAGTAATCACTTTGTTTAACTGCTTAACATTAAGGAGCAGACAGGATTATTTAATAGAATTAATGAATTTTCACAACATTATCAACAGCCCCACCCTTATACCAGCACATCTGACCCAGGGGTCATGCAATTCATTACTCTGGAAGAAGCACTCTTGCTCATCATAACTATATACTTAGCTTCTTTGCTTTTTAACCAGAATCAGAAAAGAATATTTTCAAAGAAATTTTGATTTTTCACTATATAATCAATAGAGCCCCCCCCCCCCCAACCTTTTGACCAGAACCCTTGACCCTGGGGTCATGAAATTCACAATTTTAGAAGAGGCATCCTTGCGTATCATAACAATGTACTTAGTTTGTTTAAATAGTACCCAGGGGCAGAGAAGAAGATTTTCAAAGAAATAATTCACCTTCACTGTAGGAGCTATTTAGCCCCACCCTAACACCAGAACCCCTGTCCCTGGGGCCATGAATTTCACAATTTTGGAAGAGGTGTCCTGGCTTATCATAACAATGTACTTAGTTTGTTTAAATAATACCCAGAAGCAGATCTAGAGAAGAAGATTTTTAAAGCATTAATGCATTTTCACTATATAATAAATAGAGCCCCGCCCTAACATCAGAACCCCTGACCCAGGGGCCATGAAATTCACAATTTTGGTAGAGTCACTCTTGCTTATCATAACTATGTATTTAATTTGTTTAAATAATACCCAGGAGTAGAGAAGAAGATTTTCAAAGAAATAATGCACTTTCACTATATGATCTATATAGCCCCGCCCTAGCACCAGAACCCCTGACCCTGGGGCCATGAATTTCACAATTTTGGTAGAAGGCTCAATGCTTATTACAATCATGTCAACAGTTTGACTGCTTGATGTCCAGGAGTAAAGAAGAAGATTTTTAAAGATTGCATTAATTTTGATGGTTTTAGCCCAACCCCTCAGGCCCCAGGGGGGCAGGGACCATGAAATTCACAAATTTTGTTCCCCTTCACACATAGATGCCATATGCCAAAATTGGCTGAAAATGGTTCAGCGGTTTCAGAGAAGAAGCTGAAAATGTTCAAATGTTAACACACGACGGACGACGCACGACGACGGACGAAAACAGATAGCAATAGGTCACCTGAGTGACTCAGGTGACCTAAAAAATTGAAATTATTACATGTATAAGACCAATGTATGAAATTACACTTTCACAAGTTTAAAACAGATGTGTAAGTGAAGTTTCTGCAATTTAAGTGCGTCCACAGGTGATAGTGTCTAGTTATATGAGATGTGGTTAAGTTTTGCAATGGTTGAAAGATACACATTTGAAAACTGATGCGGAAAATTGTATAATGCAAGTGCAGATATAGACAAAAACGGACTTCCCTCCCCCCATGAGAGAGAGAAAGTCCAGAATCATGTCAATCTAGTATTGGATGGTAAACATCCCCGTTACATAAAAGGAAAATACACTATTAAAATAATTAGACTAGACGGCTGAGAATTGTATGGAAATCAATATGTTCAGATGAAAAAAAATTCAGGTTTACTTTTCCATAGATTTCATGACTTCAATTCTTCTTTCATAACGTGTTTTTATGAAATGAAAAACAAGTGTCTTCTCCATCAATAATAATTTAAAAGTTTGTGATAATTCATTATTCATTTTTTAACATTCAGATATAGTTGTCATTGTGACACTGTCATACAATCATATTTTCCGCGTAGAGCATTAATTTTAGTTTTCCGTCCAAGATTTCTTCGATAACCTCGATCAAAGAAAAATTACTAAGTTACACTTATTATATCATTGTATGCATATATATATATATATATATATATATATATATATATATATATATATATATATATATGTATATGTGTGTGGGTGGGTGGGTGTGGAAAAGTATTAAGAAACTCTAAACCATATCAGTTAATATTTTTCTATCTCTAATATGTGGGTGAAGCCAACCTTCGTTTGCACGATCGGATAAAGTGTCCTTTAAGTAGTTCGGTCATCATACGTGATAACAAGTGCAGAAGTCAAGGAAATTACGTGAAGGTCCATAACATATGTACATGTAACAAGGGCACAGCAAAGCGGAGAATCCCCTCGCTAAAGATCACATTTCCAAGAGGCCTGTGTCTTACAACACACTCACATCAAAACAAAATTCTTACCGACTGCTTTTGATTCCTGATTATTATAATTCATAACATCGATAAAACTGTACCATTAACTGATTATCATTATAGCAATCACTAAACACGTTTTAATTAATTGGTTAGAATACAATTCAATAAAAAAAAAACGAAAGAGAAAAAGTCATTCAATAGAATCATTTTATTGTCACAGCTTGTTTGGGCAGCTGGCCGGTGTTGGAACGCCGATCAAATTACTGCCTATGCATGGTTGCTATTGTAAAACGTATATCATGTTTACACTGTTTAATCAATTTATTTATATTTAACACAAAGCATGTCATATTATCTCTAAAACTTTTAAAATTAATGATATATTACCGCTGATACTTCCGCTGATACAGCAGTTACAAGTAAATTGCAAGTCGAGGAAAGAATAATTCCGATCTTGATTGCATGCAACTCTATATTCACATTAAAAAAAGAACAATAATGTTGAAAATACCGAATCTTATGTTTAATTTTTTAAATTTAATACTAGTATTTCAGTGACTGCAATACAAAAATTAAAAAAAAACCAACAAGTTAGAATAACAACAAATATTCAATTCAGCAAGGCAGCAAATGCCATTGATCCCGATGTAAATAACATCACTTCCATTATATATGCACGCACTCACCCACACTCACAAGCGCTTTTAATTACCATATCCCCTCCAATCTCGCTGCGAAGGGATAATAAATGTTTTGATGCATTTTATTTTCGAAAAAGATATTGTAGATATACAGATGATTTACTTTTCCGTTTGATATTTTTCAAAATAGTGAAGTTATACATCATAGTTAACCTTAAAATTATACATAACATTCCGGTTTTACTAATTTTTTTCCCCCTAGTAATACATGTACGTTAACAAGAGAGAAACAAAACACGCCATTTGTTTTAATATTAATTCTAAATTCTGTTATTGCGATACTGTTCTTTTGACCTTGATAAGGTTCCCAATAATAGGCTACAAACTGTTACATGTAAAACACCAAAAATTTGACCTTAAGTTTATCAGCTACAACGCACTAAACCACTACTTATTCTTAAATGCCCAAACCAAAATTCTGTTTTAGTGTAACTGCACCAGAAGTGAATTAAAAAAAACAAAACTTTGGTCCTTTTGCTTGCTTCCTCGAGATCAAATGTCTTATCTTTCGGATAAGAGCATTAACCATACATAAAATGAGATTTGATATCAACGACATGGAACAATTTTGGTAAAATGTTTGGAATATGATTCCACAAAGAGATGATGTAAGCCCAATGTGTAAAAAAAAATATCAAGTACAACATCATAAATTCCATTTTAAATAAAATGATAAAATCGTTTTTTTATTGTCAAATCACAGGTTTATAATAAAGTTGACAATCACCAGTCTATAGTGTAGTAGTTATTAGCGTTCTCACGTCCTTGGTTTCCAGGGCCGGCATGAACATTAAATATTAGAGGACCGTGTCCACAAACCTGAATAGACATCTGTTAAGTGAAAGTGAAAGACCTTTAAAGTCTGATAAGATGTTCTAGAATTTTACTCCCATATATACATGTAAAGCACACTAACAGTAAAACTGTTAATTTACGATGAAATGACCTTCAACTGAGAGTACATGTATATGATATGAACTTCCATGCTCCACATGTCAGATGACAAATACTTGGTAATCTGATTATCATGATTGGGAACTTAGAAATCTTGCAATTCGAAAAAAAAACAGCAAAGCTTCAATATTTGAATATTCACTTCTATGTAAAGATATCATAATGTTATACACTCTGATTTTAAAATGTTTTTTAAAATTTGTATGAAGCCCACTGCCGAAGGCAAGAAAATAAACTCTAAAATTGCCAATATATTGTTATATTTACATTAGTGTAATTTCTATTGGAAATCTACAACATTCAGTTCCCTATAGCACACGCGAAACCTTGTCACAGCGCGGTAGAATACACGGTAGGAACTAAATACACTTTAATACACTAGGAATACCAAAATGTATATTGTTTGGACTCAATTTAATTAAAAACGATTACTCTATTAAATTGTCGTAAAAATATAAAAATTGTACGTTTCAAAATTAATTTGTTATTTTTTCCCTCGCCATGTTCATTTGCCTTTTTAACTCACTACGTCAAAACGGCTCTTCAGGCTTCTAAAATTTAGGCGCCAGCTGGCGCCTTATTAAAAGAATTTAGTTGCCAATGCAAATTTTTAGTCGCCAGGTAATATTTTTAAGGCGCCAACTTTAAAAGTTAATAGTAATCAATATAGGGACCCATTATGTGACTAAGAAAACACGACATGTACATTGCTAAAAATAATTTCCTTTTCTTTTAAATTTCTTTTAGCTTTTTCAGAAAAAAATGTTAAAAATGTTAAAATTTCCAGAATTCGACGATCGTCAAGTCAGTTTAAAATGGTCGCCAATTTGGCGACTTATGGAAAACTTTTTTGCGCCAATCAAAAATTTTAGGCGCCAATTAGAGCCCTGCTCAAACATGTACGTCTATTAACCACATCAGTTGTGAAAGGTGCTAAATAATTATTTATAACAAAAATGAATAAAATTAACATTTATGAAGAAAGAAAATAAGGGAATGTAAATATAAGCATTGAATTCTTATTTTTGAATGTCGTCGGTCGTATAACAGCACTTGTCCGTGCTGACAAATTATGATACCGCGCGTTTACTTAGCGCGGTATTCAAATTGTCGGCACGGCCAAGTGCTGTTATACGACCGACGACATCCAAAAATAAGAATTTAATGCTTAATTTAAAGAATATAGCGTCCTTACAGTATGGCTTGAAAGTTTCTCGTAAACATTGTTTTTTCTTGAAAATCTAATATCAAGAGAGTAGAGGTTTGCCGAGTTTTCGGTGCATTCGAACCTCGGTTTAAAGGCCGCTTTTAATTAACAATAGTAACTTTCATTCATACCTCAACACGATATATCCCAGCGAACTTGAAATAAGACAGCACTTAGCCAGCCACATGTTTCATATTTGGAAATTTTACTGACTATAGACGATAAAGGCCAACTAACAACTAAATTAGTGACAAACAAGATGACTTCAGCTTTTCCATCGTCAACTTTCATTATTTGTGTAGTACTATTCCGCACCACCTGCATATGGTGTTTACGTCTCCCAACTAATCTGATCCTCAAGAGCATGCTCTGAGTACTATCAATTTCTAAACCGAGACAAACTGCTGATAGATAAGTTGATGTTACAGGGATTTCAACAATTTTGTTTAAATTCAACATTTCGTAAATTCTATGGTCATTATATTGACCTAGTTAACAAATAAAACCTAACATTAGGTGGTATTTTGACTGACATGTTTCATACCAACTGTTAGGTCTTTGTTTTTATACTAAATTTGACTACGGAATGTTCCGTCTACCTGATCAATACTATATTGGTCACGGCGGGTGTGACCGGTCAACAGGAGAATGCTTTCTCCACCTAGGCACCTGATCCCACCTCAGCAATTTCCGGGGATCCGTGTTTCATACCCTCTTCACAAATTTGTATTGTTTGTAGATTTTTTGAGATCGATCAGTGTTAGTTATCTTCACCCTTTTCATTGTAAGACCTTGGATATTCACAATTCACTTGTTTGGAGTAGACCTGATCTCTGTTTTAAAATGATTATCGTTTTCTTTCAAGTCATGTTTGGGCAAGTTATGGAACATGTTAGGGAATACCACATACATGTATCTGCAGAAGTGCAGTATCTCTATTGCATGGTCATTAAAAGGAGATGCTGCTAAGCATTGGCGTAAATTCGAACTGAGCTCAAATAAAAACGAACAAGGAAAGCAAGAAACAACAATTTTAAAACAAATTGTAAATGATACCTGGAATCCGTCCGAAGTACATTTGATAAAAACTCCTGACATTGCAGACCCATCCATAGGATACATCCCAAAAACAAATGTAGATATTGGTGTGTACTTAGGAATTCTTGGACAATTCTGCATAACCTGTTAGAATTTTGGATACAAGGCATTTATATGATCTTATGAATCGTTTAAGTAAGGATGTAAAGTGTGGATATGTTTCAGACAACATGAAGAGTAAATGCAAATTACACTCTTTATGATCTTTTTCATGTCATTGGAATTGATGAGTGCTTGAATAAAATTGGATTAGAACCACTTTGCTATTTGACTTGGAAAGGTGTAAATTTATTTCAGCTCCAAAAAATCTTATAAAGGTAAACTTGCATTGTATCCTTTCGACCAGGTAGCTGGGTCAGCTGCATGACACGTTTTTAGTACCAGAGCCTCTGACTGGCTGTGGGTTCCGTCAGTACACAAACCGGCTTTTGTGTTCACCACTGTTTTTCCAATTGCCACAGTTTGCACAAATTCTAATCCGTTACATGTATGGGCTTAAGCATAAAAATCCATTAATTTCATCTATTGAACCAAGTAGTGTGTAAATGGTGATAAAATTGTACATATACAGATTTCATTAAGTTAAATTTAACTACATATTTTAAAATACTTTACGTTTCCTGAATCTCAAAAAGAAATTTCTTATTTTAGAGTGTTTGTTTGCCAAACATTTGATTTTACATTTGTTCTTGGTAAAATAAATCCAGTAATAGAAAGCCTAACAGGCTACATGTGATAAAGGAAAAATGAACCGAGTGGAATAATTACAGAAAAAATAAAAGGCTTTAATTAAGTATCATTCATCAGAGTGGTGCCAATGAGAACATTTTTTGAAAATAAAAATCGTCAAGCGATTTACTCCCAGAAAAAAAATGTTTAAAAGACAACAAAGTATTGATGAATAGATTGATTGATTGTATTTTTATTGTTTAACGCCGAGTCGGCAATATTTCAGCCACATTTCGGCGGATAATTAAGTTTATTTGACCGGTATTTGAAAGGTTTTGGATTTCTCTGGAGGCCTCCAGTAAGCCTACTCTTTTTCGAAGTCCAGAGAAACGATCTTTTACGTGCCAAGGGGGTTGTAATCCTTGACACGGGGCACCATTTAACGTTCCATCCGACGGACTATTACATGTGTATAACTTAAATAGAGAAAAGACGTGAAAAACAGTGTTCAATGAATGAAAAATATTCATTCAACATCATTCATATTTTATGGCCTAAAGAATCTTAAATCGACTACATATTAAGCTATACATAAAATTGACGTTTCTTTCTTTTCTTTCTTTTTTTTTGGGGGGGGGGGGGTATAAGTGAAGAATATTCTAGCTGTATAAAATACATGTAATATCAAAGCTTCTGAGCAGCCCAACATACTTTTAGATTATCTCTTCTTGGAAAAAAGACGAAGCCCAAACATGGATCCCCTTTAACGGAAAGATACTTTTAGCCAGTTCAATATTAATCCCATGGCACTGAAAATGCTAACGTCAAAAGACAAATATCAAATTCCTTTCCGTAAAACAAAAAACTACACAAAACTTACCAGGGCCTTCAATTCTGATGGAGATTAAGCATTCTTGTTTTCTCGGGAACCTATTACACCGACCTCATCTGAAATCCTTTGCATAACTACCGTAACAGTAAGGATTAACTTACAGACGTTCAGAGGTGGGACAGTGGTGGTTGTAGGTGCCGTGGTGGTGGTGAATGGTACCTTGGTTGTTGTAATTGGGGCAGGAGTGGTGGTGGTTGTATGATGTGGTGCGTGTGTGATAGGAGTAGTTTTCCCAAGATGTGGCAAGCCAAGAATCTCTTCAAGATAATTTTAGTACAATAAACAATTATAGTTGATAAAAATCTAATTTTAAAATATATTAAACATCAACAGTGAAATATTTTGAATTACCTTCAATCCTGTAGAGAATTTCCGAAACACATTCATTGTTTAGATTATCCATGTCATGTACGAGGTGCTCCACTATATGTGTACAACAAAGACAGTGTATATGTTTGCTATAGTGTTAACTAATTAACAATGAAATCTCAAAATACAGAAATATTTTCATTTAATCGAGAATTTACTTTAAGGATACGTGATATACTTACACGTGTATCTGAAAATTTTATACTTAAGCACTTACTTTCTTTTCGTAGATGGTCTATTTCATGTTTTCGGTGGTCATCATGACCGCGACGTTTTTGGAGCACCTCCCCTTCGAGACAGAAACAGAGACATTTTTAAATGTTTTTTTGCTAGTAAGATGACAATCATGAGTGTTAACTGATAAAGATAAATTTATGAAATTGTTAAAAATTCATGCAAATTTATAACGCGGTATACGTTATAATGCTATAGGATATAATTGTTTCTTCGCCAAACGGTCAAAATTTTTATCGTAAAGGGGATATGCGTATTTCGGGGAAAACACATCAATATTATTTATCCCTCTTATTATGAAGGCGTTTCTGTGCACCAACATCCAGTAAATATAAAATATGACAATGAACTATAATACTTAAAGGAATAGATTCTTCCTTAACGGTAGAAAGTAAAATAGAAATGTACGATTAAAGGTGTGTTGTGTTTCATCTCTAACTGACTTCGGCCAGGTGTGTTAAAGCACACCTCTAGAAGACTATGTTCAAAGGGTATGTTGTGTTATACTTCTAGAAAACTACATGTACGTCAAATGTGTTGTGCTTTACCTCAGGAAGACTGCATTAAGGGGACGACCATTTGATTCTGAACAGGATTGGGGCTGGCAAATTTATTCCGAGTCAGATTATTTATTTTATTAACACGTAAATAGTAGACAGACGGACGCTGGGTAAAATGATCCCTAAGTGTCGCTCTGCTCTGCACGCGTTGCTAGTTAAGTATGTGTTGAGCTTCACCTCTAGTAGACTGTAAAGCCTTATGTTGTGCTGCACCTCTAGAAATAATATATCAAAGGTGTTTTGTCCTACACCTATAGGAAACTACATCAGATATGCGTGGTGCTACACCTCTAGAAAACTACGTAAAATATGTGTTTTGCTTCACCTCTAGAAAACGACATCAAAGATTTGTTATGCTACACCTTCTGAAAACTAGGTCAAAAATGTGTTGAGTCTCACCATTTGGAAAACTTCGTCAAAGGTGTGTTGTGCTATACCTCTAAAAGACTACATCAAAGATGTGTTGTGTTACCTATCTAGAAAACTACGTAAAAGGTGTGTTTTGCTACACCTCTAGAAACTTCATCAAAAATGTATTGTACACCACCTCTAAGAAAACTACATGAAAGATGTGTTGTGCTACTCCTCTAGAAAACTACGTAAAAGGTGTGCTTTGCTACACTTCAAGAAAGTAACATCAAAAATGTGTTGTTCTACGTACATGTTCTAGAAAATGAAAGAAAAAGTGAGCAAGCTCACATACCCCACGCTCCCCCAAAACTCGACAATGGAACACATAATGAATGGCACAGTGCATTTTAAATACACAGTATAATTCAAAAAGGGGCATTACTTGCAAAAAATCATCACACCAAAACTTCTTGCCTATAAGGACATTCAAATCTTTGTATGTTACAAATTTAATTGGGCTGAAGTTTCTAGATAATCAAAATTTCTTGGTAATATACAAATCTATACATTATGTCTGAAATACCTACGAAGTTTCAGGAAATTCAGTGCAGGAGTTATGCTGACAAACTGTTAGTTAAATTCCTCAGTAATTTCGATTTGTTAATGAGTGTAAGTCCATGTCCAACATCATGACAATTTACACATTTAAATAAATGATGGAAACAAAATTATGATGTAGTCATATGAATTTGTTTATATACTGTACTTATGAAATTATTTAAGGCAAAGCACCAATTTGAAGTGGGGGGGGGGGGGGGGGGTGAGAACTATCCAAGATTTTGTGTGTGTGTGTGTGTGTGTTAAATCATTGATATTTTGATCTCAAAATCAATAGGGGTCTTTTAAGGTCATAAATATTTCACATAAAATTTCATTACAAAAGCTGATTCCAGTGGATTTCCTTATTACGTAGCTGGAAAGTTTCTTCAAATATAGGCAAAACTCTTAATACAAAAATAATGGAATCGGAATTTCCTGAAAATATGCACATCTACACACTGTGTACTAAATATCTGCAAAGTTTAACCAAATTCTGTGCAGCGGTTTAAGAGGAGTTGCACTAACAAACTGTTCATCTCTATATTCAAGATATGGCCAAAAATCTTAGTTCAAAAGTTTCGAAATTCCCAGAAAAATAATGGAATCGGAATTTCCTGGTAATATGCACATCTACACACTGTGTACTAAATATCTGCATAGTTTGACCAAATTCTCTGCAGCGGTTTATGAGGAGTTGCGCTGACAAACTGTTCATCTCTATATTCAAGATATGGCCAAAAATCTAAGTTGAAAACTGCTGAAATTCCCAGAAAAAATAAAGGAATCGGAATTTCCTGGTAATATGCACATCTACACACTGTGTACTAAATATCTGCAAAGTTTGACCAAATTCTCTGCAGTGGTTTAAGAGGAGTTGCGCTGAAAAACTGTTCATCTCCATATATTCAAGATATGGCCAAAAATCTAAGTTGAAAACTGCCGAAATTCCCAGAAAAAATAAAGGAATCGGAATTTCCTGGTAATATGCACATCTACACACTGTGTACTAAATATCTGCATAGTTTGACCAAATTCTCTGCAGCGGTTTATGAGGAGTTGCGCTGACAAACTGTTCATCTCTATATTCAAGATATGGCCAAAAATCTAAGTTGAAAAGTGCCGAAATTCCCGTTTCTTCAATGAATTTCAATATGAATATGAAAGTATGGATGGATTTAAAGCACAACTTTGTGATAAATATATGCTTTAGAAAATAAATAAGCTTTTACTTATTTCTATAGCATATTTTTTATGTCCTTAGGCCCATTATATCAAATCATGCCATACAAAATAAAGTTGTGAAGTATATCGTTTCATGAATACTTACGTCCGTGGTGATGTGGATGCTCGTGAAAGTGATGGGGGTGCCGTCCTAGGTCAACCATGTACATGTCGGGATATATATAGTGTTCTACAACTAAGTTACCCAGATTCTAATGTTAAAAGGCTATTCTATTACCTCATTTAAAACTTTAGCATAAAATTTAAAAGTTGATCTTTGTTTCTCAAAAGAAATGTAAATAGTAAATATAGTAACTATAAATTTCTTTACTTAGCACAAGAACATAAAAATGCTCATTAAGTATTGCACAGCCTTAATGTTTGCAGCAAATTTGAACGTACTTCTGGTTTGGTGAGTATTACAGTATTACCACATTTTTTAAAAATTGTTCTGGTTGTAGCATTAATTCAGAGGGTTTTTTCCCGCATACCAATTAAAATTTTGGGAAGGGGGGGGGGCGCTTTCGTAACATCATGAAGTATTGACTGTAACCTATGGAATCCTGATAATCCACGTAGCTAACTATCGCAGTCGCACCATCGAGCATCGACTATAGGGTCAATGGCGCGATGACGAGGAAGCGATGATGCGATAGGTCGATGACAATGACGCGACGGTGCCATATGTAGTGCGAGGACGACGATGCGATGGCGCGACATTGCGATGACGATGGAGCGATAGTGAATTACTGGATCCTGATTCCATAATAAACAGAACAAAAGGAGTTGGGAAATCCAGAAACTAATTGGTAGGGTTCGAACTCAAAATTATGTTCTTAAAGCATGCCAGTGCATTCTCTATCTGGACAACAGGAACATGTATCATTCAGTACAATGAATTGAAATCTCTTACAGCACTTTTCTTTGTAATTCTACCTTTCAGTAGATGCCAAATTTAAAACACTCGCTCAAACAAAGAATTTTGACGTTCATATATTTTAAACTTGTATCTGTAATTTTATTTATTTATTCCACTACACCTATCAAATACCTTGGACTTTCAGTAGGCGGTGATATGCTAATATTTAATTTTACGTCACACCAAACATTCAAAGAATGACATAGATTGTAACTGCACAAGCGTTAGCAAAGGAAATACGCGTAAATTTCACCAAGTTTAGTTGGTGTAAACACTGTTTCCTACGATCAAAAGGTTAGGCTTACGTCATTTCGTTGTTAGTAACACTTGAAAGTCCAAGATATCGGTAGAAATGAAGAAAAAATATGATTTCCCTACTTTTGCAACTAAAAGCATGAAGGAAAAAACAATTTTTCCTCGGACGACAGATGAATGAAAAATTCTTTTTGTATCTTTTTTTTAAAATAACAAGTTGTTTATTCCAATAATGCCATACCGTAAACATACTGAACGTCAATATTGCATTTACCTTCCCAAGAGCATCTGTTTTCAACGAGAGCAAGACAATGTTCATAGAGAAATATATTTCCATTTTGAGAGTTCATAAAAGTATATGACTTGAAACTTTAAATTGTATGTACTTGATGAAGCGTATGTGTGTATCAAGTCATATCCTCATGACTTTTGAAACTAAAATAACTTATTTTTACATTTCAGCTATTCATTTCACATTCAAACGGCCCATTTCAAATTGTCTGTGGTTTATTTACCCCATTTTAACGTACATAAGTTGTAGTTCATGAAATTGTGAAGTTATATTTCTTTAAAGTAAGAAATTATATTGAGAAATCACATGTTAAATGAACATTTTTATCTACGTATGTTTTCTCTTTATAATCAAATTTAGATGACTTTTTATATTAAACCTTGTACATACCTGTTTGCAGGAGATTTAGGTCAGGGTGATGTCTGAAATAGTCCTCTACTTTGTGGATTATTTCTGCAAAAAGGGTGATTTATATTAAGAAGAGTTTTATTACTATTAAAAAAAATATACTTCGATGATATAAATTAATGTTGGTTTAAGTTTGTGAACTGTTATGAAACAGATTCATCAAATTGGTAAAAAAGGTGTAATTAGGGCCCAGCTCCGCGGGTGCACTATAGAGATCAGTCTGTCGTCCGTCTGTTTGTCCGATTTATATGACAAGTGCATATTTTCTCTCCCCTTGACCCGGTCCGACTCTAAACTTCACCCATAGATTGCCTGTGGGTAGTGGGTGTGCAAAGACCTTAAACCAAGTTTTTAGATCAAGGTCAGAAATGAAAAAGCTCTTAGTGTAAAATCCTTGTCCGAAGTAATTTACTCTCCCCTTGGCCAAGTTTGTCTCATACTTCACCCAAAGAGTGTCCTTGGTTAGAGGGTATACAGTGATCTTGAACCAATTTTCTGGTTGAAAGGTCAAGGTTATAAAATCTTGCTGCGTAAAAAATCCTAGTTCGGATCGGAACATATTTTCTCTCCTCTTGGCCCAGTCGAGGTCAAACATCATCCATAGAGTGTCCTTGGGCAGAGGGTGAGCAGTGACCTTTACCAAATTTTCCTTAGCTACAGCATATTTTCTTTCTCCTTGGCCCTACCTCGCTCAAACTCGCCTATTGCATGGATAGAGAGCGTGCAATGACCTTGAACTTATTTTCTGGTTCAAAGTCAAGGTTGAAAAACAACTTCTGCAGAAAATCCTTATCTGGAGCATATTTTCTCTTTCCTTTGCCCAGTCAGGCAACTGATTAGGGTATGCAGTGACCTTGAACCAATTTTCTAGATCAGAGGTTAAGACTGAAAAAAATATATATATAAAACATTGTCCGAAGCATATTCTCTCTCCCCTTGGCTCAGTTTGGCTAATACTTCACCCATAGAGCGCTTGTGGTACATGTATAAAGGTATGCAAGGGCCTTGAATCAAATTTCTTGACGAAAGATCAAGGTTAGAACTCTAAAATCTTGTCTAGGTCATATTTTTCTCCTCTTTGTCCTGCCTGGCTCAAACTTCACCAATAAGAGTGCCCATAGATGTGCAGTTTTCTAGGTTAGTGTTCAAGGTTGTATCAAATCTCGTTAAAATTCTTTTCTTGGGAATGTTTGTCCCATTGGTCCCATCTTACTCGACCTTCATCTAAAGAGTGCCCTTGGATAAAGGGACTTTATTGTTTTTTAATGTTTTTTGCTAAAATGGGGTCATTTGAGATGGTCACCATCTCGATGATGACTAGTAATTTTTGAAACCAAACAATCCTGAATTTTATTTAAAAAAAAAAACTTTTAAAAAAATCTTATTTTAATTTATTTCATTTAAGACGTCAATGAAGTCGTCAAAATATATTTATAGGGAATGATGTGAGTTGGATACATTTGAAGCCCGCATTTTTTTTATGGTAGACTTGACGATCTTCCAAACACTCCATACCCAAGTGAAGGTTTTAACGAGTAATTCTTTACGTACGTAAAAAATAAAGTTTACATGAAACGGACAACTTCAGTCTAAACCATGCGCCATAGATGATGACGAAACAGCGCCATGTAAAAGCGCAGAATATGCGGAAAGGGGGATGCTAAGGCCGCAGAACATTAACTGGAAAAATTAGAAATACGCAGCTCACGTCATTTCCATCTGTTACAGTCAAAATGCTTAATGATAGACAATGAAATGGGCGGGTACAATTCGACACGAACGTCCGAGAAAACATTGGATTGAAATTCTAGTTTGAAATTCATCTTTAATCCACCTGAGCTGTTTTTCAAACCTAATGTGCGAATGCGTGATCCAAAAGACAAATAATTTCAATTCCCAGACACAGGCACTTGGGGTATGGACCCCCCCCCCTTTCCATTTTTTTTTCTTTTTAAATCTGGGATCTAGTCACCTTTTTCCTATTTTTGTATTCTAATATGCACTATATGTTATCAATAATGTAACTCTTTTGTCTCTATGAGCTGTTTTTAAATATATCGTTTTCGACTGATACATAAAAAGAGAGAAGGCTTGCAACTCTTTTCTCATCGTCTGCCTCACCTCGCTTAAACTTCGCTGAATTATTTATCGAAAGAATATTAAGAAAACATGGAATATGCATACATCAATAAATTCGTTATACATTCTTCTTCCTTTTCATATTTCCATTTAATATTTATGTGCCCCCGATTTGTAAATATTTCGATTAAATCATCCGCATCTAGGGTAAATTTTGTTGATGTGCGCCAGCTGGGACGGAAGTGCCCGGTATTTTCGGGTATCATCATTACGTGTAATGTCATTCGGAACATTAAATGCGAGAAGGAATAAATCCCGAATTTTCTCTTCATATAACATGTAACGGTAAGTTCTGTGAATTACAAGATAACTTTAACTAGCAAATTCTAATGGATGAAGATTAACTTTTAACAGACGACCTAGACAACCAAATTTCACAATATTGTTATTACAAAGCCTGGAATTTTTTTTAATGCAGAACATTTATAAAGTTAGAGTTACCGTTATTGCACTTCCGTCCCAGCTGATAAATAAACAAAATTTACCCTAGATGCGGGTGATTTAATCAAAATATTTACAAATCGGGGGCACGTAAAAATTAAATGGAAATATGAAAAGGAAGAAGAATGTATAACGAATTTATTGATGTATGCATATTCCATGTTTTCTTATTCTTTCGATAAATAATCCGGCGAAGTTTAAGCGAGGTGAGGCAGACGATGAGAAAAGAGTTGCAAGCCTTCTCTCTTTTTATGTATCAGTCGAAAACGATATATTTAAAAACAGCTTATAGAGACAAAAGAGTTACATTATTGATAACATACAGTACATATTAGAATATAAAAATAGGAAAAAGGTGACTCGACCCCAGATTTAAAAAGAAAAAAAATGGAAAAGGGGGGGGGTCCATACCCCAAGTGCCTGTGTTCCCAGATACATGTTGTTTGAAATTCATATTTATATGAGTTTTTTAGCCTATAATTTTAAGGACACGTAAAAGGAATAGAAGACAGAGAATATTTAACAGGGGACGGCCATTTGATTCTAGAAGGGGGGATGTCAAAAATTGTCGAGTCAGATCATGCCTTCACATGACAGAATATATTAATTTCTAGGATAACAAGAGCTTTTTTTTCTTCTACTTTTGTCTTCACTAAAATGTTTGACAAACAAAAGCAGAGAGGGATTGTCCAAACTACATGTAAAAGAAAACTTTCTTATTAATTTCCAAGGTCGTTTTTCTCCATGCAGTACCTTGTTTTTATATAAACATTGATCTTTGCATTTTGTTTTTAGAAATAACGTGTACGGAACATCGTTTCAGATTTAGTATGACATCGTGCAGCATAGAAAAAAAAACCCACTAAATCTTCGATTTTATGTTAATTCATTTATGGTTAAATTCGCGACTTTTACAAATAAGAAAACTTTAAATTGCTTTGTTTATAATTGTATTATTTCCTTCTCAAAAAGCATCACATGGAAAAGTCTGAAACAGTTTACTATTAATAATTTTATAGAAATAACTTAATTTTTATGCCTATGATAATGACCTGGACACATTGTTTCATACCAGTCTAGGCCATCTCTCGCTAATCATGCAAGTAGATTTCATATGTTGACTTTCAGGTCAATACTCCTGTAAAGGTATACACACGTTTTATGACACAGAATTCCAAGAGTGTCATTAACAACAAATATTACTTGTCATATTCCATAAACACTACATACACATTCACATTGGTATACTTTATGTACAGCTGTACATGTATATATAGTACTTATTTATGAAAACTTCTTCCGTGCAAAATGCTAATATATACTTACCATTCCTTTTGTGGGGGTCATTGCAATGTTGACAACTCACAACAGCTGAAATAAAAAAAGTTTTTTTTTCCAGACACAACCATGTAGAGACCCTACGCCTGGGATATGAAAATACAATTTCCCCGACCAATACAAGAAAATCTTGTATGATTTTCACTTTTTTTCCTTGGAAGTGTTATATGTAGGAGTCGTGAAATCAGATATGGAAGTTAAATGTTTCTTTGGCATTTCCAACCTTGAGAATAATTATAGGTAGCTCGAAGACGTTTTCAATTGGTGAATGCATTTTTTACAAACACGATAAAAATGTAATATTCTGACTCAAAAAGCAGCTTTTTTTGTGTTCTCTAATCTGAACTTAATATGTGACACTAAGTATGATTTTCATATATACGAGGGTTATTCGAAAAGTTCGTGGACTACCGTCGTAACTTTTTTACTTAACGTCATATTATATCCATTATATCCAAATTTGGAAGAAATTTTTCAACAGTAAATTCAAATGATGTATATTAAAAAAATATAAAATATCATGGTTTATTTCAAACTTATTTAGGCCTTAAAAAATGCGAAAATCGGATCACGTAGCCGGTCAAAATTTTGTAATTTACAATCAAGACACTAAATAATGTCTGAAGTCATATCTTCTGTAAAATGACACAAAAACGGAAAAATTCTACACTTTCAAATTAAGAATTGTTTCATCGTTTCTTCCAAATTATAATTATGACATGATATTTTGCTTCGTTTAAAAGAAATCAATTTCAGAAGATAGGTAGTCCTCATTGAAAAATGCAAAAAAGATGACGTCGTAGAACGTCACGGAGCAGCAGTTAACCATACAATTTTTTTGTTGTACATGTACTCTGGAAAACTCCAGGAAAAAAAAACTCTGAAAATCCCGGAGGAAGTGGGAAATATGTTAAAAGCGAGCCATGCATGTGTGTGTACATTGTACAAGCGGTATTTGAATGATTGATTGATTATTATTGTTTTACGCCGAGTCGGCAGTATTTTAGCCATATTTCGGCGGTATGAATTTAAATATTGTAGAAATAAGCACCGCTTCATACCTTTACTTTTTTCTTTTGAATCTTTTGCTGAAAACCAATGTTGGGGAGTTTAAAAAGAACGTGAAATTTATAGCAGAGGGTCATTACTCTTAAGCTTCATCGACAGTCTGATAAGAGAGATAACTCTAATTGGGATAAATTGGAATAAAAGAGTATTATTCTTTTATCATATTTTCAAGTGAAAAGACCATTTATTTCTGTTCAATTTTGTCCTGCAAGGTATGCTTAAATTATTTGCATTTTAATTACAATTTGGATTTTTTTTTTTTTGAAAATCATAAGCGTTAAAGAAAATATTTATGTGAGTGACCAAAGGGATAATGAAGTGTAAGCTCTAACCGTTGATACTGGATGGGATGTAAAATTTATGCGGTATGTATTAAAGAAAGTCACTCTTCGATTTGTTTTCCCCCCACTGTGATCAGAAAGTAATGAGAAAAAAAAACCATGAACTCTTCAAGTTTCGTTTAAAATTAAACACAAAATTGCTCTTTTTCAAGGGACCAATTACTGAATGTTCGAACTAACATAAAAAAGGGTACCTTTCATTTCAATATATATCAATGAAAATACGGTTTACTTGCCCAAAAATGCAGTAATCCACAGAAATGATATCATCCTGGCACACTTTGTAAGGACAGAATGATAAGGCTGAATAATATAGTGTACATATACGTGTCTTCGGTCACGTGATTATCATTTAAATTTTCATTTTACTGTCTCGTTGACAAAAAGCACACAGTATGTATACATGTAGCTAAAGAGTATTTGTATATGAAAACATATGTAAAACTATTCATTGAAGAATATTAATCATCCAAAGAGAACCCATCTTAATATAAAATGTAGCGAAGATAGAAAGTTTTTTTTTTAGCTACAACCATTAAAGAATGAATTTAATAGCTACATGTAACCATAGTATATACTGTATATATAACCTGGGTTGAGGCAGTTTACGGTTTATAAACTGCAAAGCGAAAACGGTTCCAACCCAGGTTATACAAGGTAATAGCATATAAATTATTTTTTTATATCCAATGAAATGCTGCATTATTACCAGAATTAAATTCAAAGTATACAAGTACTAGTATTTTGGGTATTATATATTACCAGTAACTAAATATGATTGATGTGCTGTCGATTTCTAATACGTTTCATGACAATACCAAGTATAACACTATAAATGCAGAATCTGTAAAGCGGAGATCATGGGGATCCATCCAAGATGGCAAACATAGTGCCCCCCCCCCCCCCCCGAAAAATCACGAAATACATTTTGTGGTCTTTACTGCCTTTTTGTTTGCTTGTCAGAAAACCTATGCGACAGAAATTGGACGTTTTATCAATTAACAATAGTTATTTCCATTCATACGTCAACTCAATATATCCCAGTAGACACTGGTCTACCACATCTGTTCCATATTTGGATGTTTTACTAACTATAGACGATTACGCCAACTACATGTAATAACGAAACTTATGGCAAACGGGATTTCAGCTTTTCCATCGTCAACTTCCCTTATTTTTATATTAATATTCCATCATCGCCTGCATATGGTGTTTGTCTCCAAACTGATTCGATACGTAAGAGCACGTATGGATTTTTAAACCGAGACAAGCTACTGACAAATAAGTTGATGTTACAAGGATTTTAACAATCTCGTTTAAAGTCAGCGTTTTGCGAATTCTATGGTCATTATAATGACCTTGTTTGTAAATACAGCCTATCGTTGGATCATATTTTGTCTGACGTGTTTCATACCAGTTGCTGGGCCTTTGTTTTTATACTAAATGTGACTAAAGGGTACTCCGTATACCTGATCAATACAAAGGTCTCACGGTGGGTGTGACCGCGGTCGAAAGGGGTTGCTTTCTCCTCCTAGGTACCGAATCCCACGTCTGGTGTTTCCAGGGTCCGTGATTTTACCCGTATTTCGTTTTGTTCACTGGATTTATGAGATTTGCTATTCCTTATCACTACAACCGAGAAAAAAGTCCCAAATGCGTTTTTGATATAGAATCCAGTAAAAACCAATTTGCCTCATCTGATTGGAAATTTTAAAAAAATGTTGCTAAAATAATTTACATTTCAATTTTTTAAATTCATTTACAGAGTTACTGTATCATTTAGTTTTTAGATAACAATTTTTATTATGAATGTGTTAATTTTTTTTACGGAGGACTTCGTGAAATAATCTATTCTCGCTCGCTCAAAGGGAAGTAAATCGAGTAGCTTTTGCTCGTATGTTTTACAAATACGTAGTAAAAGGACTTACCGTTCATAACAGTAGGTATCTTTAATGCTTATACGTGTAATTATCGTACGTAGAGATGTTTCTTTTCAAACAAAATGAGATTTTGCAATTATTTTTCTCTAAATTGTATCTTGAAAACCTCTATTAACATTTAATTCGTTACTCTTCGTGAAACAGTGTTTACATAATACAATACTGTCAAGAGGGAATTCCAGCCTTTCTTTTACTGGTTTATCACTTGACCGTACCAGGTAGGAAGGTTAAAAATAGAATTTTGATAAAATTTCAAAGCCCGGAAGTAAAATTACTATTGGACAATCTCTGTGTTAGCTGTTCATTCATGATAAAAATGATTCTGTATAAATGAACTTTTAAGAGTAAACGGATAGAAACTTCAAGGTAAGAAGTTCTACACGAGTTACTTGATTGAGATACATTGTTTAAACAATGCATTAAATTCTGAAATAACTTGATTCGGTAGATACTTGTTGAAAAAAAAATCGATATTGTCTTTATTTATAAACCCACAAAATATTGGTTAAGAAAGTAACGAAATTTGTTCTGTTCACTCGCATTCATGAAACAATTTTTGAAAAAAAAGAACTAAGGAAGAAAAAGAATACCTTCGAAACGTATTTTTAAATGTATATTATCTTGAAGTCTCATTTGTTCTATTGGTGGGACACCAGGCTCCATGATCAGAAACTTAGTATTGACTTAAGTCAATATTTCAAATTGATCTAATCATTAAAATATTGAATAACAGAAGTCAACAACTTTATGAAGATTTCATTAGTATTGAAATATCAATATAAATTATGCACCATTTGACAATTCAGTGATATAGGGAATTCTTATTTTTGTTGAAGGGTCTACTTTCAGGATCAGGAAACATACCTGTAGTTCTGATGAAATAAAAAAAATGTATGTTTTGAAGTAGTCAAACTGTTCAAAATAAAAATTGTTAGTTTGCATCACCAGGATGTTGTTTACAGATTACACATTTTGAGTTCAGATTAGAGTAAAAAATAAATCTTATTTGCATTTTTGCTTGATGATCCCTTGGCCTAGATGCGTGTATCTTCCGTTTTAGTTCGTACTAGTATACTATCTATAACCGTCTGTCTGTCTAGTTGTTTGTCTGTCTGTAAATAATTTCATTCATTAAGCTACCCTTCTAACTGTATCGATCTGATTTGAAAAAAGGGAAAATAAAACCACACACACAGCAGAATGAAGCTTCCAGAATGAAGCGTCAAATGTAAACGCGAACTTAAATATGCATGATCTTGATCTTTGTTTTCTACTTTACCTTTTAAAATATCAATTTCAGTGTTTTTACCGATTTTAAAAATAGAATCATTCTTTTCTCCGCAGGGTTACTCGGGTTATATATAAACGATGTCTTTGTCTGTTTTAAATGAAGAGAGGTATTACTTTACACATAAAATCTAGAAGGGAAATACCAGTTATCTCTCACATCTATAACTAATTTTAATCCAAATTTAAATAATAAAAAAAAAAAATAAAACTCCAAAGCAAAATTTAAAGCCTAAAAAATATAGTCACTTTTTTTTCTTCTTACCTATTTTTTTTTTAAATAACATATTGAATATATTTACCTGTATCTTAAATTAAAACTACAGAATATCCTGATCACTAATATAGAAAATAATGACCCTAAGAATAGTACGTTATAGTTGCCGTAAAAACGTCGCATGAAACAAATGTCTTTGATTAACCATGAACAGCTACCTACAATATTAAATATTCTAGATCATACATCGGCCACTTATCCTGAATTCAAATTTATAGATTCCCCTTTTTCAGAAAACTGTTAATCAAAAATCTTATTAAATGTGATGAAAACCGTATGTTTCCTCTATACAAAAAAAAAACGAGAACATGGTTATACGAGATATACATTTCATATAGTTGTACTTATATTTGATCAAGTTTTAGATCATATGAAAACTGTCCCAGATAAAAACCAAACTCTTGACGAACGTTAAACATGCAGCCCAGTTATCACTCCCTGAACCATATAAACTGGCGCATTCTTTTCCTACCTAGACAGCAATGTATATTACAATCTTAAGGATCATCTTGAACGTTGGGCTTATCCTCTGTTAGTGATGTTTACAAATGTTTAAAGACAGAAAAGTAAAATGTTTAAACACATGATCATATATAGAAAATCATCTTTTCGTGCTTTGAATAAAAGTCATTGCGCTGCTTCTGAAGGGCAGTTATTGCCAATTAAGAAAATAATTATTCCAAGAACCACAAATGCAAGTAAAAGTACTTTATTTTTATTTTAACATATCCCCCTACCAAATACGAAAAATACTATGCACATGTAATTTCGAAAAAATAACATGACAACTACTTCTTTTAGAAACATACTGAACATGGATGCAGTGTTCTGATATTTACTTGTTAAACATCTTGATTAAATAGTGATTTAGAGCTAAAATCATTATAATTTAATAATTTATTATTACCAATTCAGAACAGCAGAACACTGCTTGCATTTAGTATGCTTCTAAAGAAATCATTTCTAATAAAATATTTAAAAGCCATCTTGCACTTAAAAATATTTGGCACGTATGATCACGTGTTTTCTTGAGACTATGCATACATGTAAGAAGGCCTTCATCCTGCAAACGGAAACCAATTACTAATTAATTATTTGGTAGCCGTGGATTTCTGTTTCCATGCCAACCTGTCATGGAAAAATGAATACAAGTAAGCACATATATAGAATTTATGTGGGGAATCCACTTGAAATGAATCTTGGGTACAATTGGAATATTTGTTTTAAAAAGTGAAATATTAAAAGGTAATTATTTTAATAGTTTCATACTACAATTAAAGGAAGGACACAACTAAAAAGGCATCAAGCAGCTGAAAAAAAAATCCTAAAATGTAATCAGAACAATCAATTAATAATTTCCTGACAAGTTGCCATATTAACAGGGCTGTATGCTATGATTTATGTATTGAACAGTTTCATTATCTCTCAAACTCTAACAAACGCGAATATTTTCAAAATCTATTTATTTGGTGTAATTAGACAAATAGTAATTTGTGATGAAAGGAAAAATAATATTTGGGAGAAAAATTGTTTCTTTAGGCTTGACCATGAAAAAATAATTCTATATGCGCGACCATGGAGATTATATTTCTATCTGCGCGACCATAGAGATAAGATTTCTATAGGCGCGCGACCATGGAGATAAGATTTCAGATATTCAGAAGAATCATGCAGTTTTTGCTATAGGGAACTATATATCATTTCATCTCTGATTTTTATTTGAAATGTACTTACATGTTAACTATGCCAAATTGTCATAATTTATTCTAAAACTTTATAATTGAATTGAAAGGCATTAAAATTCAGCTTGGTTTCTATAGTCACTAAGCAGTAAAAGTAATAACTATAAAAAATTTCAACAATTTGTAGTTATTAGGTTGGATGGAAAACTAGTAAAATGATTAGAAATTAGTAGGGATGTCAATTTTGTCAATAGCTCATATTCGAATATTCAATGAAAGTATTCGAATATATTCGAATATTCGATAAAATAAATGAAATCTGTTTTATTTCAAATGTACATCATCTTACTGTCATGGCAGGTTTTGCGACGGTATTTGGAAGTAAAATTGGATGCATGTCTTTGTAGGTATACAATAAGGAATTCAACATTTGATATATAATTGATTTAAGTGTACACAATCGACATATAATTTTAGCAAATGATATCTATGCAGGCTCAAACTGACGAACCAGTCGTCTAACCAGGGGCAAGATTGTTGTTTACTCTTCAGATTTAAATTAATTAATTACAATTATCTGCTTAATATGAGATATAATCTTTGATACAATGTTTTGAAATTATCACTTTGTTTTGAAAGAACACTTCCATAGACAATTTTCCTAGGTCATTAATTTCCCGATAATGATTTTAAAATTTAGGAATATATTCAACCCGAGATAATCAAGTAATTGATGCATTATTCTGAAATTGAGCCCTTTACAATATTACAGGCTGATTCTACCAAAGATGTAATTCAATGATCAATAAAATTTATTTTCATAACTACATTCTTCACGTCTCTTACACATTCGAGAAGGGTTTTATTTCGTCGTCCTCGATTCTAGTTCCGATCACATTAAACTATTGAAAGTACTTTTTGTATTATAAATTAATAATTCTTGTTTATTTCTTTTATACCTTACTCAGAATGAAATAATTTAGAAGATCTATAAGATAAGAAAGTAGTGAAAGAAATCGAGTGATCGCTAGTAAGTATAATTGGGATAATTCCAGCACTGTTCTAATTTAATTTATTATCTCTTTTTGTGAAATCTGAACAACACCGAATATTCGAATCCTAAATTCATATTCGAATATTAACTCATCGAATGAATATTCGAATGTTCGAATATTCGTTAACATCCCTAGAAATTACCATTTAAAAATACTGGGGATTTTCCAAGATAGATATCTATTCAAGGAAAATTCAAGGAAACAAATGAAATGATACCTGCAATAAAAATGATTGTTCATCCTACTGCCAAAGCAACGCTTTACATTTGTGCCTTTATTCTCATTTTCCCTAGATTTTAAAGATTTATTTTTTTTATCTTTACTTTTTATATTTTCTTTATTACTAGACACCAATAGGTACCCCTTAATAATATAAAGCAATACATAATTTCATAAAGCAATACTAATTTTTGATGCTAGCCACAAAAATACTAAAACATATTATTTTTCTATTGAATTTCTTTTGATGATGTCATGTCATGGGAAACAATGGTATTATTATAATTATTTAACCTACAATAACTCATAAGGTAATTATATATCGTTGGTGTGTACTATCAAATGTAAATAATAAAAGGATCCGGAAAAAAATCAACGAAAATTGACAATGTAAAACCATGAATTTTCACCTTTTTTGTATTTTACTACTAATGCTGCAAAATATTTGGGTTTGATTTCAAAAATATAAGAAAAAATTGATTTTGAAAAGAAAAAAATTTAAGAACGCTTGCCATGGCAGCAAATGATCTATTTATCCAAAATTTCTCATAATTATTTCGTTAAGAAGTCTTGTTGAGTTATGAAACGTTTAAAGGAAAACCCCATGCGTGCCACACCCTGAAATAAAAGTTCAAATCCTTATAGATAAAGGCTCTAAAAGTATCATGCTTCAAAAAAGTGTGATATCAGCAGATGTCACTGAAATATATTTGACCTTGCCTTCTTTTACAGGATGCTCAATTATAAGGATAATTCATCATTAAGTATCTTGCAAGAATGAGTTATCCTTGTTTGATATCCTACAAATCATAATGACACAACAGTGCAGAAAAATAAAATGGATGTCATTCTGTCTTGTGTCGCTGTTTAAGAGACTTCAACAATGCTCTCAGTGCGGTGTTATACTGGGAAGTGATTGTTGTATAAATTGTAAAACTCTTGAACTTCTTTTGACACAAAACACGACATTCGGAGACCTGTTCTCCTTTAAGGCTATGAATTAGATAAAGACTGTAAATTCAAAACATAAAACATGTTGTTGAGAGGGGACTGTAATAATTTTATAGCAAGATTTCTCTGTTACTACTCCCTGAATGAAGAAAGAAAAATACGAGTCTCTTATCAGAAAATACATAACTCATA